TGAAGTCATAAAACATTTCTGCAAAAATGAGCCTCTTCACATCCCTCTTCAAAAGACAAATGTGAAATCAAGGGCTTTGTGTCATGCAATCATAAAACTGTATTGGAAAAGTATGTAGCCTTCCCTTAAAAAATCAGCACCTGAATCATTTTAAGATTTTTGGTTCCTTATAAGAATTTTGACTTTTCATTTTTTGTTCATTATGAGAAGTGTTCATTATAATGGATTTTGTTCATTATAAGAATTAGCACCTTGTTGTGATTATAACCAAAATTTTGTGATTGTTAACTAAATGAAAGATAAAATAATTTCCATAATTTTCAGATTCATTTTTGAGTTAAAAACCCAACTACTTATTTACTATGGCATTTTTGGTTCCCCTTTTAAGGTGGCTTAATTCTATGTTTTCTGCCACTCATCACTGATCAGGATTTGTGGTCATCAGGAGGAACCCTGGGAGTGACCAAAGACCCCAATTTATCCAGAAAACAGCACTTGCAAAAAAAAAGTGAAAATAGGCTAATCAAGGATGCAACCAGGATGCAGAATTGGCAAAACTTTAAAGTAAAAGGCCACAGAATATTCTGGAAGCATGAAACACAAGCCAAAGAAGATGTAACAGATAATGGCTTACCAGCTGGGAGGAGCTAATAAGTAATGTTGATCCAAGATAGCCTGAGGATTTGGGCACAGATGAAATATTAGAAACTACGTATAACAAATTAACCATGATGGTGCTCAAGAATATGGGTGCAGCCTTGCAAAAATCTAAACTAATCCTTTCAGGGTTGATTTTTATTTTTCCTTGGTTTTGACATCCTTGCATTAACGATTTCATAATACAGAAATGTTGCTCTGTTCTACTCCAACTTGTTAAATTTAGTGGCTGTTTGAATCTCATATTTCTAATTTAATTTTCTGATAGAAAACCCATTCATCTGTCTGAAAAATAAATGCATACAAAAAGGTATTCCAAGTTTGCAAGATGTGACTTTTGAGAGAAACTAGGTAAAAGATATACGGGATCTTTCTGCATTATTTTTTGTAGCTGCATGTAAATCTACAATCATCTCAAATATAAAAAGGTGAATTTTTAAAAAGTATGGTGAAAAAGTGTTTCTGTCATAGTTCCCATCTGCCTAAGGTCTCCCTATGATTTACTCCTTCCATCATATAGCTAAATCACTTTTATTAGTTTCTTTATGCAAGCAAACACAAAATGTATACTATTTCCCCCCCTCAATCCCCAACCCCCACCTCTTCCACTAACTGGTAACATATTTTGTTCTGCATCTTGCTTTTTCCATGTAACAATATACTGGAAATTTTTACATTGATTTACTTAATGTATTAATTTAAAGAGAGAGTATTCTATGCATAGAGAGCTTGGTTTGAGGTATGCTTTGAATAAACCATAATTTATAGCCAGTACTCTCCTGATGGATATTTGCATGGTTCCCAAGCTTTTGTTATTGACAGCAATGCTATTAGTACTAACCTTGTAAATATATACAATACTTTTGTCATTTTGACAGATAAAGCCAAGTTCCTCCATAGAAATTGAATCAATTTACATTCCCACCAGCAACAAATGGGAGGCTGTTTCCACAAAGTCTCACCTATAGAGTATGTCAAGCATTTGGGTTTCAGCCAACCCAGCAGATGAAAAATGGCATCAATGAGTTTAGATTTGAATTTTTATTCGATTCATGATATTGAGCATCTTTCCATGTGTCTAAGAGCTATTTGCCCATTTGGCCAATATACTGAAGAACAAGTGTTATAGGGAAGGACCTGGTAAGGAAGCTGAGTTTGAATGCCATACTGGAGAGAGGTGCTCCCAGTGTTGTCGCTCTTAATTAACATGCAATGACTTTTATTCAGTGTCCGACATGGTTAAAAAAATAAAACATCAGAGCCTCAGATGGCTTGAACAATGTCATCACCTAAAAGGAGGCTCATTTTAAATAGAGATGATCCCCAACTTAAGATGATTCTACTTGTGATTTTTTTTTTTTTTTTACTTTCTGGTGGTGTGAAAGTGATAACACATTCAACAGAAACTGTACCTCAAATTTGGAATTTTGATCTTTCCCCGGGCTAGCGATATGCAGTCTGATACTCTCGTGACGCTGGGCAGCAACAGTGAGCCCCAGTCAGCCATGAGATCATGAGGATCAACAACTCATACTCTAGAAACGTCCAGTCACTAAGTTGTACACCTGAAACTAATATTGTATGCCAACCACTCTTTAACAAAAAAATTTTAAAAAGGTTTAAAAAGAAAAACACAAAAACTGATACTCTGCAGTATACTGTGTTGCCAGCATTCTTTGTTTTACTTCAATGCTTCAAATGTTCTTTAGGCCCAGTGTGCTAATGGTTAGTGGTTTATGGTGAGAATCTATACAACCAATCTGTTTTCACTTTCAGTACAGTCTTCAATAAATTACATGAGATAGTCAACACTTTATCATACAATAGGCTTTGTGTTAGATGATTTTGCTCAATTCTAGGCTAATGTATGTGTTCTGAGCACGTTCAAGATAGGCTAGGCTAAGCTATTGTTAAGTTAGGTTGCTAAATGCATTTTTGACTTAACAATATTTTCAGCTTGAGATGAGTTTATCAGGAGGTGACCCCAAAGTCGAAGGGTATCTGTACATCCAAATCACTGACCAATCACCGATGATTGAATCAGGCCTTCCCTAAAGGGAAATGCCCTGCTTTAGGGGGGGAAATTGCAATAACCATAGTGAGTGCTTGAGAAATAGTAATTCCACAGATATATTGAGAACCTTCATGAATCTTACATTCCAGAGAGGGGAGACAAATAATCAACATAATAAGTAAATCATATCGTTTGTTAGAAGGTGATAGAGCTTTGGTGAATAATACGCCTAGATATGGGGGATCATAAATAGGCCTATCAGAGCAGGCCTCACTGAGCTAATATTTGAACGAAGAAGGAGGTAAGGGCAAAATCTGGAGGTCGAACACGCTGGCAGAGGAATAACCAGTGCCAAGGCCCCAAGGAGGCAGTGTCCCTGACATGTGTGAGACACAGAAAGGAAGCCAGTGTGGTTGGAGGTGGAGGGAGTGAGGGTAAGGAAGAAGAGGATACAATGAGAGCAGAGAGGAGTTAGAGGAGATAAGGTAGAACATTTCTGGGCAAAACTGATAAATGTGGCACTACTTCCACCAAGTTTTGTTGTCTAGCTCTTATCTACCTATATATTGTCCTTGCCTGAATGACTTGGTTTTCTAGGAGGGGCAGAAGCAATTTAGTGCTCCAGCTGTTCTTGTAGGCAGAGAGAGTTGACAACTTCAAAGCCCCAAGCACATGTGGGCAAGCAATACACGTTTGTTTGTAGACTGATGGCTCCTGGCAACAAGGGGACAATCTTTCATGCCTTTTCTTCCTGTAATTCCGCTTTTTCTAAAGGCTTTCTTCCCTTGTTAAATTTAAAACTTCTCCCTTGGAATGTCTGTGATTTGAACATCTCACACGTGGTTCGTCTTGTCAGCTCCTTTCCCTATTTCTGAATGTCTTCCATTTCAGGTTCACCTTAGGGTGATATTAATCACAACTATATCAGACACCTCTACAAAGACTCAAACCCTGCATCTCACTGCCTGGCCAATGCGTATCAAATATTATCTGTCCCTGACCTTCAGATCCGGGACAAACACAGCTACTCTTTTCTCAGTAAAAAGCATTGCAGGGAGAGAAGCTTTTTACACAAGTCGAAGAGGATCTGTGCTGCTTCAGAATCGAGAGGAGTGAGGCAGCGGCAGTTGGGACTGAGATGAGCCATGAGAAACTAAGCCCAGGTTTCTGCAGGGGCACAAGGCCTAATGGGCAAGTCGGCTCGCTGGGAGGAGCACCTGTTTCGGCATGGGCTAAAGCACCATCAATACCATAGATTTGCCCTATTCTCCAGAATGCTCTCTTCCTTGCATCTCTAAACTCCAGTCTCCTCTTGCTTCACCTTCATTCCCTTCCTCACCCACATTACAGAACATTGTGCACAAGGCAGGATGGCTGCAGGGAGGAGATGCCCTACAATCGATAATCTCTACAAACATGGGTGTCACCAACTTTATTATCCCCTCACCAGCCAATACAGATGCAGAGGAGGCACACCACTTGGATAAAGATGAATTGTTCTAATAAACACTGCCATGGGCAAGTCACAGAGTTGGGAGGTACACGAAGAGGATCAGGACATGTGTGCTGGGCACTGATGAAGTGACCCTAAAAAGGTGGAGGCTAAAACTCATAAGAAACGAAACAGCACCATGACAACAACGCGAGATGTCGCACGCAAGTCGACAATTTGAGGGCTCTGGCTTTGGGGGCACAGAACACAGAGGGATCTTGGGCAGCTCCATCTAGGAGAGCAAAAACCTGACCCCCACTGACCTGGAGGTACCACAGCGTTGTTAATGGCATGGAATGGACCTGGGTGTGGATTCTGCTTCCACCATTTCCTGGCTGTGACATCAGTATCACATTGATGGTATTTCAACATCTGCTTAAACGTACTTTCCTTTCATGAAAAATGAGCCAGACATCCACTGCCAGAGGATGCTGGGAAGCAGAAGTGAAACATGTAAGCTGTTTTAGGGCACACCTGGATCTGCAACTTGCACTCCCAAAAGCAGCATCCATCGGGACGCATCCTGTTTCAATATCGCCAAACAAGCATCTTCTAGAGATTCCGTCCCATACCCAGTCTGCAAGTTCTACTGTACATCCCGAACCCCTGGTGATGCCACTGTGTTCAGTGTTCAGAGTAAAGTCAGAACTGCCTAGCTCCGCACCCCCTGACTCCCTACACATCTGCCAGGATGCATACTTGCCTCTCCTCGTGGTCAGACCTCTGTCTTTCCGCAGGGCACCCCAGCTGGGTCTGGTCCCCTGCCCTCCCCATCAGCAGCGCTTCCCTGAGTTGTCTCTGCCTGGTCCCCTGCCCTCCGCTCACCCTGCCCCTCACCTGATGTAGGGGAGGAAGGGGTTGACATGCCCGGAGAGCACGGCGACCACGTAGGAGATGATGAAGGCGGCGGACGACCATGTCACCAGGAGGAAGGGGACGAAGGCCATTCCCTTCAGGAAGCACAGCATCGCGCCGCCGGGAGTGCGCTGCGCTCAGAGGGTCGGGACGCCGGGCTGTTCCTGGCTGCTCCGGGGGGTGGGGGCGGGAGCCGCCACGTGCCGGCCCGCCAGGCGGCGGCCACCAAGCGGACAGCGACGGGCTGCGGGACAGGAGCCTCCGCGACGGCGAGGGCAGGCCCAGCCCCGGAGCGAGGGGAAGAGCGGAGAGCCGAGAGCCGGGAAGGCTGCGGACCGCGAGGCGGCGGGCCGGGGTGGGTGGGGCCCCTGCGGCCCGGGCTTGTTGCGAAATGAGTGAAGTCACAAAGCGGTGCCCCGCCGACTTGGAGGTACGCGGGGACGCTGCTCCTTTCGCTTTTGGTTCGGGCTCCGCAGAGGTGACCGCGGGCGGGGGGCGCGGGCGGGAACGCCCGCCTCTCAGAGCTGCAGGTTGCGCAACTCCGGGAGAAACTGATCAACGCCTCCCAGCCCCTCCTTCCCTCGGGGTTTCCGGGGTACGGGACCACGAACGCCCAGGGCTTCCCCGTCGAGGTCCCGCTGCCCGCACGTCGCGAGGGAGACGATGCCCACTGCATGGTGACATCTACGCCATCCCGCCGCACTGCTATTACTGCTGCTGCTGCTCCTGCTGCAGGGGTCCGGGAGAGGTGTTCGGTGACGTTCAGCAGGCCACGCCGCACGGATGTGACACGCACCTGGGTTGTGCCCACCTGAAAACCAAGCGAGTGTATGGCGGGTGGGAGTCTGGGTGGGACTGAGCCAGGCTGGGCGGCCCCTTGTACCGCCCACAGCTTTTTCACCAAAGCGGACTTGGAGTGTTTGTTTCTTCGAAATTAGATTCCCCTTTCTCCTCTCACTGAGCAGACTTAGCCCAGGAATGGAGCCACGACCTAAGACAAGTACAGGTGACTTCATACATTTGAAACTCTGCAAAAGTTATGTGTGTCCTGGAGGCACTTGCAAGCATGGTGATTCTGAGATATAATTTAGGGATTCTGAGCCCAAGGTATGGGTGATTGGGTCATTGGTGACCAAACGTGGGTTCATTTCAGCCGCATAAACATTTTTTGGTTGTCACATCGTGCTAGGGCACAGAATACAAAGATTAAATAGTTCTATGGGATCTAGAGAACTGACATTCAAAATAAAATAAAATTGTATGGAACATTCAATAGATAAGAGGAGATAAAAAAAATAAAATAAAATAGATGCACAAAGCTGAGAGGCAGGAACCAGTGCTGGGACAAAGAACTAGGGAGGAGTTCCTGACAGATGATGTTAAGAGTTTCCCAAAGTAAAGGATTGTTCACCAGGCAATGAAAGGTGAGACTAGCACTCCAGGCCCAAACGCGAGAAAAGGCATAGTGTGTGAAATTGCTTGTTTTTCTAGAACTAAAACAGCACTCAGATAAGTGTAAGACGGAATGGAGAGGTAGGCCAAGAGGCCCTGTCACCAGAGCCCTGCTAAGAATCTTTGTTTTTGTTTATTTTGGTTTGGTTTGGGTGTTTTGTTTTTTTCGGTTTTGTTTTTTGGTAGTAAGGAGAGTGTAGGAATATGTATAGACTCGTATTGCCGGAGATCATTGTGGCTGTGGGGCGAGTAAGCACCATGTTGAATAAAGCAAAAGCTTTACATTAAGGCTTTTTAGCGATCACAAAGCTGTCATCCATGGTGACCCGTTGTACATCTCTACCTAGGTTTCGGAGTTCTGAAAACCACTCTTTCCCTCCCCTTCCTTTTCTTTCTTTTTTCCTACTTGACTACTGAAGCATCTGATTTTAAAAACCCTCCCTGAGGCCGAGGAATTATGACATCAAATGGAATTCACTTGATCATCTTGTCATTCTGTTGCTTATGTAGTTCCCTTAATCCAATTGGCTAATTACCCTTAACACAAGCAATTACAAGTGTGGCCTGACTATAACAGCAATAAGTGTTTTCTTGTTTAAAAGAAGTATGTATATGTGTACATATTTAAAATTGGTATGTAACTCACCGTATATGTATACATATGATGTCAAGCAGCCCTGAGAAGCACTGTGCTGCTCCCTCTTCTAAAAGCTTTCGGCCCCATAGACCTTATAACACCCTCTCCTTGGAATAGTCAAGTTATATGGTATGTGGATGAGAAAAGGGGTTCTGTGGAAAGTAACCTCACATGGTGATCTGATCATAAATTCCTAACTGGGCAGGCCCTGCCCCAGGCATATAACTTCTTTAGTGAAAGGTTTATCTTTGCCTTAAGTAAGCCTTGTCCACTGTTTCTGTGCATCTAAATTGACACACCTTTGAAATAAGCCTTAACCACCCTCAAAGAGAGCAAATACTCTTGTTAACTATCCTGTAATCCAATCCCCAGCTTGCTTTCCCCCACTTCCATGTAATCTTCTTTACATTCCTTAATTTCATAAAAGAAACTGCAAAACTGTGATTCTCTGGAGCATGTAAGATCTTACTCCCCGGCATGTCATCAGTTTTGTTCAAATAAGCTCTTGTGAAAATTCTCTACAGGTGTGGACATTTCTTATGTCAAAACAGGTACAAAATATGCAATTTATACAATATTATATCACAACATAAACATTGTGAAACATGACTTAATGTTGATGGCTGCTGACTGAAGTCCCAGAAAACAACCTTACTGGTGAAGGAAACCAAAATATGTCACCCCAAAATGTGCCTCTTTGACATAATTACTTTGAGCTGAAGGCAATTTGAGCTGAAGCAAAAGCAGGAAAAGCTCTCTCTACCCTCCCCCTTCTTTTCTGTCTAAAGGCAGGATATAAATTTCCTTTCTACTGCTCTAGACTCTTAGCCCAGAGATGGCCCCAGAGGAATTTGCAAACAAACCTTACCGAGTTAGTTTCCCCCATAAAAGTTTACCTTCCCAGTTTCCCCTCCTTGGAAGCCTAAGACCATTTTCCTTTGTCCTGTTAACAGAGACCCAGCTGAGAACCTAAATATTTATCCTCCCCTACACTGGGTACCTTAAGGATATATTAAAAAAGTTATGCTTCTCCCCTTAAATTGATTCCTGACTTTCTGTCAAAGGAAGTCCTACTGACTCACAGGAAGGGTCTCAAAAAACTGTCCTTTTGAGGATGAAGCTATTCTTCTTTGGTAGTCACCATTCATTGGAAGGCAGTGTGCTTCTTGATCTAAAGAATCCCAAAGTTCAGGAGTTATCTACTTTTTATGGATGAGGACACTGAGCTTAAGTCATGCAGCTAATGAATCGAGGTGCAGAATTTGAATCCAGGTCTATGTGACTCACGAGCCTACAATCCTAACGATTGTGAAGAGCTCTCTCACTCTCCTACTTCCTCAAACTCCAGAATTACAGAAGGAAATGCCTTAAAATTTATGTAGTTATAGTTTATTTTTGTACGTGTGTATGTATTTATGCAATGGAAATATGCAATTTATACAATATTATATCACAACATAAACATTGTGAAACATGACTTAATGTTGATGGCTGCTGACTGATCAGGGTGGTGCTTGCTGAAGGTTGGGGTAGTGTGGCAATTTCTTAAAATAAGACAACAATGAAGTCTGCTGCATCGATTGACTCTTCCTTTCCCTAACGATTTCTCTGTAGCATGTGATGCTGTTTGACAGCTTTATATCCACAGTAGAATTTCTTTGAAAATTACAGTCAGTCCTCTCAAAACCTGCCACTGTTATATCAGCTAAGTTTATGTAGTATTCTAAATCCTTTGTTTTCCTTTGAACAATCTTCACAGTGTCTTCACCAGGAGTAGAGTCCATCTCAAGAAACCACTTTCTCTGCTCGTCCGTAAGAAGCAACTCCTCATCTATTGGAAGTTTACCATGAGTTTGCAGCAATTCAGTCCCATCTTCAGGCTCCACTTCTAGTTCTAGTTCTCTTGCTATTCCTACCACATCTGTAGTTACTTCCGCTACTGAAGTCTTGAACCCCTCAAAGTCATCCAGGGGGGTTGGGTTCAAATCCTTCCAAACTCCTGTTAATGTTGATATTTTGAACTCTTCCCATGGATCACAAATGTTCATTTTGTTTGTTTGTTTGTTTGTTTTTTAAGCTGAGCCATCCTACCACCTGTTGGCAGCTTAGCTTGGGCCAGGAATCAAACCAGCAACCCTGTTGCTCAGAGCTCACGCTCTTAACCAACTGAGCCACTTGGCCAGCCCCTACAAATGTTCTTAATGGCATCTAGAATGGTGAATCCTTTCCAGAAGGTTTTCAATTTCCTTTGCCCAGATCCAACTCCAACAGCAAAAAGATTACGAATTGCCGAAGGCTCAGATGATGATTAGAATTTTTTAGCAGTAAAGTAGTTTTTAATTATGATATGTACATTATTTTTTTAGATATGATGCTATTGCACACTTAACAGATTATAGTATAGTATAAACAGCTTTTATATATAGTAGGAAACCAAAAACTTTGTGTAATTTGCTTTATTGTGATATTCACTTTATTGTGGTAGCCTGGAACCGAACCCACAATATATCCAAGGTATGCCTGTGTTTCCCCCAGTTTTTTTCAGTTTTTTTACTTTCCTAGTCTAAAATAATTAGAAGCAGAAGCTGGGGTACTGCATTAGGTCCACTGCTTTTATTAGGAATCAATCATCATTTATTGCAAAAGCAACTTTTTAAAATTTAGTTCAGCAGCTCTATCACATGTCATTAATACCAGATAAGAGAGTGTAAAAATTAACACTGGTACATTTCATTCCCCTCACCATGTCTTTACTTATTCTATATATTTTTAATAACAGGCAGTAAAAGCCTCAATTACTTCTCCATTCTAAAAGTTGCCATAACCCCTCTCACTGAATGTGGACTGAATTTAGTGACTTGCTTCAGAAGACTAGAGTATGAAAAGGGAAATAAAATATCTTTACAGAGGAGAAATCTGCCAGACATCACCAGAACCAGATGATCTAAGTTAATGTCAGTGGTAATAAACTGATACTCTATACATTGATAGAATAAGATATAATAAAATGATGCAATGAGAAGGCACTTAACCTCTGTGGTAGTTTTCCCCAAACCCATACTTGCAGTTTAATCATAAGAAAACAAGATAAACCCAAATTGAGGGCCATTCTATAAGTTAACTGATTAGTACCTTCAAAAGTGTCAAGGTTATGAAAAACAAGGAAAGACTAAGAAACTGTCACATACTAGAAGGGACAAAGGAAACATGATGCCTAAATGCAATATGGTATATCCAGTTGGATCCTAGAACAGAAAAGGGACCTCAGTGGGAAAACTAGTGAAATTTGAATAAAACCTATACCTTAGTGAATGGTTATGTGCCAATTTTGATTTCTTAGTTTTGACAAATGTTCCTTGTTTATGTAAGATGTTAACATTAGGAGACTCTGGGTCTCCTTCTATCTTTCATTTCTGTGCCATATTTGCAACTTTTCTATAAATCTAAAATTATTCCAAAAAAAGTTTTGTTTTTTTTAAAGTGTACTTTAAAAGTTGCACTTGGGGGCTGGCCGAGTGGCTCAGTTGGTTAAGAACACGAGCTCTGAGCAACAGGATTGCCAGTTCGATTCCCACATTGGCCAGTGAGCTGCTCCCGAGCTGAGCTGCCAACAGGTGGCAGGATGGCTCAACTGGTGAGAGCACATGCTCCTAACAACAAGGTTGCCGGCTCGACTTCCACATGGGATGGTGGGCTGCGCCCCTCGCAACTAAGATTGAACACAGCACCTTGAGCTGAGCTGCCCTGAGCTGCGGCCAGGTGGCCAGATGGCAACTGGACTTGGAGCTGAGCTAGCTGTGACCTCTACAACTAAGATTGAAGGACAACTTGGCTGTTCCTCTTCCCCAATTCCCCAATAAAATCTTAAAAAAAGAAAAAAAGTTGCACTAATTTATTATTCACCACAAACTCACTGCTAAGGTCTTATATTTAAAATCTCACAGTCACCTATGGCAACCATAATACCTTTCAGTTTATCCCAATTTTATTTTACTTTTATTGAAGTATAGCTGGCATGCAACATTATATTTAATTTCAGGTATACAACACACTGATTGGACACATATCTTACAATGTGATCACCACACTCATCTGGTAACCATCTGTCACCATGCAAAGTCATCGTACTTTTCTAAATTATACTGTAGAAGCAGAAAACATATATTGTGGCAGAAAGGATTAGATGGCCACCTAGAATGAAAGATCCCTGCTCCTTTTCCATTGTGTAGTTCTTGCTGGGCAGGGATTTCTCATACAGGAACTTCATTTGCCTACAGAGGCATCCTTTCTTCCTGGTGGGATCATAGGACTAGTTCTTACTACTGGAAGATGTGAGTCACTTCCCAGTATGAGTGGTAAAAAATGGGTATCCCTTCTTCATTTTTTC